ATTTTATTTTAGATGTCTAGGTTACCCCCTCCCATTCCTTGAAGATTCTACCCCCGGCTCACTGCCACTCTCCCCAAGATACTGCTCTTATTATAGTTATTTGTTATTTTAATTTTCACATAGAATAGTTTGTATTCTGAGATTCCTTAATCCTCACTTATACAATGATTTTAGCCATTCATTCCCAAGGTCCTATCTTAAATATTGGCATTAATGATAACTGCCATCCTCTCTGACCAAATTTCAAACACACTCCTGAGTAAAATAAAATGATTGCTGTTTTAAAGCACTAAATTTTGAAATGGTTTGTATGCAGCAATGGATTACTGATACATTGAAAATTATGTTCCCACTTATCCCACCAAAATAGATGCCAATGGGGCTTCTTCACAAAGCTGACTGCATGAAACCACTACTTCCCATGCTAGAGAGGGAGGGAAAAATAAAGACCCAGAAAATGTCTAATGAAAAGATATTACAACAATGTTAAGTTATGTTGATACTATGTACCTGTGATATGATGTAATAAAAATGGTATTTTATCTCTGTGACCTTCATCTCCAGTCTAATCATCAGAAAAACATCAGAAAACTCCAAATAGAGGGCAATCATATAAAACACTCTGCCAGTACCCCTCAACACTGTCAAGGTTATCAAACACAAGGGAAGTATAAGAAACCATCACAGTCAAGAAGAACCTAAAGAGACATGACAACTAAATGTAATGTGGTGTTCCAGTTGGGATCCTGCATCAGAGAAAAGAAAAAAGATAAAAACAAAACAAATAAACCAACTAAAGAAATCTGGTCATTATCAGCCTGGACAAGATGCCAAAAATCCATATCTACAAAAAATACAAAAAAATTAGCCAGGCATGGTGGCATGTACCTGTAATCCCAGCTACTTGTGGGGCTGAGATGGGAGGATCACATGAGTTCAGGGAGGTCCAGGCTGCAGTGAGGCGTGATCACACCATGCACTCCAGCCCTGTAGCCTGGATGACAGAGCGAGACCCAGTCAAAAAAAGAAGAAAGAAAAGAGAAAGAAAGAAAGAAGAAAGGAAGGAAAGAGAGAGAAGGGAAAGAAGAGAAAGAAGGGAAAGAAAGAAAAAAGAGAAGAAAGAAAGAAAGAGAGAGAGGGAGGGAAGGGAAAGAAGAAAAGAAGGAAGGAAGGAAGGAAATAAAAATAAAGTGTTATGAATTTAGTTAACAATACGGTATCAATGTTATTTTATTTTTTAATTTTCTTAATTGTAACTAATACACCATAATAATGTAAGATGGTAATAACAAGGAAAACTAGTTGTGGAATAAAAGGTAACTCTCTATACTACCACCTCAATTTTTCTAAAACTTTGAATCCAAAACTATCTATAAAATAAAGTCTATTTAAAAATAAACAAAAGAAACTATATGGTGTGTGCTTGATTTTGTGTCACTAGCTGTTCAAAGTTTATACTGAGTGCATCTAATTAATTGAGTCCAAGTTACATGCTGTGTCCTAGTTGCAACAGAGACAAGGAAAGTGAATTCAACCTCTATGGAGGGGTTTCTAACTTCCTTGCAAACTCACATAAGAGTATAAAAATAGTAAAGACATTCAGTTGGTTGGAAGCCAAAAATGGACAAATACCTAACACATGACCTATGAAATGAAATCACCATCACTAATAACTACCTACAATTCTAGATTGAATACTGCAACAATTTATACAACACAATATTCTGAGGATGTCTCGAATATAAAACTTCGAAAAAATATAAAATGTTTGCATAGAAAATATTTTTGTTGGGCGTTAAGGCAGTCTTCTTCTTCTTGTATTTACTAATATATTTCCAATGCTAGTAAAATATTTGCCACATATTACATTCTCAATAAAAATGCGTTCAATGAATAAATAAGTGGTCTAAGGAAAACTGTTGGTTTAAGTTAGGTCCAGTCTTCACTACATCTTTTCCTAAATTCAGGTTGAGTATTACTTATCCAAAATCCCTGGGGGCAGCTCTGTGTTTCAGATTTTAGATTTATTTTTCTGATTTTGAAATGTTTGCATATACTTTTTTTTGAGACAGAGTCTCACTCTTTCACCCAGGCTGGAGTGCAGTTGTGCAATCTTGGCTCACTTCAACCTCTGTCTTCAGGGTTCAAACAATTCTCCTGCCTCAGCCTCCGGTGTAGGTGGGATTACAGGCATGCACCACCAGGGCTGGCTAATTTTTAGTAGTGATGGGGTTTCACCATGTTGACCAGGCTGGTCTCGAACTCCTGACCTCAGGTGATCCGCTTGCCTAGGCCTCCCAAAGTGCTGGGATTACAGGCGTGAGCCTCTGTAGCCGGCCAGTATTTGAATATACATAATGAGATACCTTGACATGGAAACCAAATCTAAACACAAAACTCATCATATTTTATATACAGCTTATTCATATAGCCTGAAGGAAATATTATACAATATTTTTAATAATTTTGTGCAGAAAGCAAAACTGGTATACATTGAACAACCAGAAAGCAAAGATGTCACCATCTCAGCCACCCATGTGGACAATCTCTGGTTTTTGATATCACCATCATTTCTGACTCTGGATTTATATGTTATCTATAAGCAATCACTTATTTACAATTATTCACACATCAATACTAGACAGTAAAATATGACATACCACTAACACAGTGAAAAATATAATGTATTCAGGGTAACTAAACAGCATGGCAGCATCACAAGAATATCTGGGGACAATGAATCAACTGTGTGTTGTGCACCTGTGTGGTGACTGCAACCCATTGCATGAGGTCATCTTTGGAATTTTCCATTTGTAGCATCATGTCAGTGCTCCAAAAAGTTTGATTTTGGAGCATTTTGGATATTGGATTTTCATATTAGGGATGCTCAACCTGTAAATACAGACATGTTAATCCAGAAGAGCTGGATTTCATGATGATAGAAGAAACGGGGTTTATAGCAAACATTCCTATGCATCCTAAGGAGCTAGTCCCACATGGCTTCAGAATCCTTCACCTTTATAAGAGTCATATTGTTACGGTTTGAGTATATCCCCTGCAAAATTCTAGTAATAAAATTTAATGGCAAATGCGATAGTATTATAAGGTGGGGCCGTTAAAGGGTGAGTGACTAGGTTATAAGGGTTCCTCCCTTCCTAAATGGGAATAAGGCTTTATTAAAAAGGTTTAATGCAGTTGTGGGCTTTCTTGTGGTTCCACGTTGCCTTCTATCATGGGAGGGGACAGCATTCCTCCCCTCCAGAGAATGCAGCAATAAAGCACCAGGCTGGAAGCAGGTAACAGCTCTTGCCAGATAACTGAACATGCTGGTGCCTTGATTTTGGAGTCCCAAAATCAAAAACAGAAATTTCTGTCCTTTATAAATTACCCAGTCTCTGTCATTTTGTTGTAGTAGCACAGACTAAGATAGGAATGTTGAGACAAACCTTATAAAGTCGTATCATTTAAAAAACAGCTTGATTGTTAGTAAGGTGATTGTAGCCTGAAAATTACCCTTGTTCAATCGGTGGACCTTTGAAAACACTGGTCAGAAACCTTATACCTCTGAGAGGTGTTAGAGTAAAACTAGTCATTCTCCCTCTTACTTTGTGCCTCTTCCATTTCCTTACCTCTTAATTGACTGTATACCATGCTCGAGCCTGTTTACTGGCAACACTTGGAAGTTAAAATGTTTATTTCACCTAATTAGTTAAATATGACTTTTATAAAGATCAAGGCCCTCACAAATGATTCATACACCACAGGAATCAATTGTGGCACAAAACCATATACCCAATTTTAGAAAATGTTATTCCACAATTCCGTCATAACCCGTTAATGGCTAAGGCTTGAAGGATTGAGTCGGCAACAATGGGATAAGTATGAAGTGACAGAGGCTGAAGCCCCACCCTGCCATCTCAGTTTCAATAAATTTTGGGATGATAATAATCTCTATCTTAAGTGAAGTGATAATAATTACATGAGATGACATCTATAGTATGTTTATGATTTAAGAAGTACAAAGTAGGTTAGCAAAAATTTCTAGTTGCCAGCTTGCTTTATGGTAGTCGATTCGTGACCTAAATATAAAGCTGTCTCTGGTTTAAGTTCTTTCACTTTGCTCCTACAGCACTGTCTACCTGCCTCTAAGCACTAATCATGTCATCATGTACTTAATGCCACTGAGCATTCTCTCCTCTGTGACACACACATCTCTTCCCTCTGGGTCTCCACACCCACCGGATTTTCTCCTACCTCTCAGGCTGATCCTTCTCTCTCTTTTTTGCATGTCCACCTTCCCGACTCAACCAATGCTGTTGGTGTTCCCCAGGCCAATCCCAGCGCATTTCCTTCTATTCTATTTTCTCTCTTCCTCTCTGTCCCTCCCTCTGCAATCCTCTTCCAATGGAGGGCATCAATCAGTATCTACCTGGACTGACACAAATTTTACAGGCCCAGATATCTCTAAAATCCCAGAAGCCTACATCCAATGCCTAATTGACAATGCTTCGGGATGTCACAAAGTACCTCATTCTTAACAAGCCAAAAGTAAACAAAGAACTGCAAGACCTCTTCCATACAAACTGAATGAATGAATCTGCGAACCAATAAACCAATAAAGACCATGTAAGACACCAGATTTCTTGTTGAAATTGACATTGCTTTTTGATTCCAGACAAAAAGCGTGTGGAGAACAGAAATGGGATTTGGACTAGCTTTTCCGTAGTGGGTAAGCGCCGGAAGTATGACGCTCGTTTCTTTTAACCACCGGAAGCGTAGCTTGAGTCCATCCACAGGGCCAGAGTTGCAAACGTGCGGCGTGGGCGGGGCCTGCAGAAAGGGGCGGAGCTTGAAAAGGCCTTGTCTACCTTACCGACCCGGGTCGCGGGGGCTCCTGGTGGTTCCTTCCACAGCTGGTGCGCGTGCGCAAGAGTGTACCGAGGGTGTGTCGTGGCAATTTATGAAACTCGAAGAGGGCACGGAGTTGAGGGTTCGGCGAAGTCAGGGGTTCCTAGTTGCAGCGTGATTACCAACGCCAGCTCCCTTCACTGGCCAAGACAGCGATTCCGCGGCTCCTCTGAGAACTGGCGCTTGGGCGTGACGGATCGGGCCCCTGGAGAGGAGCAGTGCTCACAGGTATCACCCTCGTCAGCGGGCTGTGGGGCGCGGGGGCGTGGAATTGGGAATCGTCTTGCGTAACGTGCAGCTCCCCTCAGCTTGCTTGCAGTTAACCTATTCCCACGCTGCCCTCCAAGGTCTGTGTAGGAGAACCTGGAGGAGAGCGCGAGCTGACGAGGGGGATGGAAATGTGGGCTGCGGAAGGAAGACAGGTGTGAGAGTAGCGACAGAGGGCTAGGGTTAGGCGGCGGGACGGCTGGAGTCAGGATCCAGCTCCGCTAAAATAAGGATTTAACCACACTCCCGGCGCCTCTTCCATTCTGTAATAGGGGCAGTCTCCAGACTCGCAACGTGGTTAGTATATTATGATCAGCTGGTTTAGGAATGGCTGGTATTGATGCCTCATGGGAAAACCAAGTGTGACTGGATCGATCAACTGGGAAAGTAAATGGGAGTTTTAATTAATTCCGTATTGCCTTGTTTTCCCATTCATTCCTGGCCACCTCCCTAAAACATTAAAAAACCTCCAAGTGTCGTACTTATTTCAGTCACTTATTCGCAAACTGTTTTCTGTGCCTCTTTTCTGAGCTAATCTCTCCAGGTGGTTCTTATCTCAAGCAGCCGTCCTACCTACCACTTGTTTGATTAGAAATAACCCTCTTCACAGACAGATACTACCCCTTCTCCATAATGAGCAGCTATTCAAGTTCCTGGCGGCCATAAAACGATAGAACCTGTGCCACCTGGTAATATTGGTCTAACCCTCCACTACGACGTTCGGGTCCCTCAACACAGTAACACTGGCTCCATGTCTTAATCTTGAATCCCACCGTTATATCAGAGACCTCTATTTAGTACTTCGGAGTTCAAATGTTGTATTTCTTGGCTTTGTATATTCCAGTGTTCCTCACTTAACAGACCATTTAAGCTACTTGGAGTCATGTCACACCTTGGATCTCTATCATCAAAACTGTTCCACCTCAGAAATTTTTTTTTTCTTTTAATTTTACTTTAGATGTATACTATATCCAGCATTTCTCCCCATGTTATCCCTCCCCACCCTCCCACGTCCCTCCCCACCCTCCCACGTCCCTCCCCTACCCCCGCAACTGCCCCCAGTGTGTGATGCTCCTCTCCCTGAATCCACGTGTTTTCATTGTTCAACACCCACCAATGAGTGAGAACATGCACTGTTTGGTTTTCTGTTCTTGTGTCAGTTTGCTGAGAGTGATGGCTTCCAGATGCATCCAGGTCCCTACAAAGGACACAAACTCATCACTTTTTGTAGCTGCATAGTGTTCCATGGTGTATATGTACCACATTTTCTTTGTCAGTCTATCATTGATGGGCATTTGGGTTGGTTCCAGGTCTTTGCTATTGTACATAGGGCTGCAATGAACATACATGTGCATGTGTCTTTATAGCAGAACGATTTATAGTTCTTTGGGTAATGGGATTGCTAGGTCAAATGAAATTTCTATTTCTAGATCCTTGAGAAATTGCCACACTGTCTTCCATAATGGTTGAATTAATTTACACTCCCACCAACTGTGTAGGAGTCTTCCTATTTCTTTACATCCTCTCCAGCATCTGTTGTCTCCAGATTTTTTTAAGCATGGTCATTCTAAATGGCATGAGATGGTATCTCAATGTGGTTTTGATTTGCATTTCTCTAATGACCAGCGATGATGAGCATTTTTTCATATGTTTCTTGGCCTCATATATGTCTTCTTTTGAAGTGTCTGTTCATATCCTTCACCCACTCTTGAATGGGTTTTTTTTTTTTCTTGTATATCTTTTTTAATTCTTTGTAGATTCTGGATATTAGCCCTTTGTCAGATGGGTAGATTGCAAAAATTTTTTCCCATTCTGTTGGTTGTTGGTTTGCTCTAATGATGGTTTCTTTTGCTGTACAGAAGCTCTGAATTTTAATTAGATCCCATTTTTCTATCTTGGCTTTTGTTGCCAATGCTTTTGGTGTTTTAGTCATGAAGTCCTTTCCTACGCCTATGTCCTGGATGGTTTTGCCTATGTGTTCTTTTAGTGTTTTTATGGTATTAGGTTTTATGTTTAAATCTTTAATTCATCTGGAGTTAATTTTAGTGTAAGGTGACAGGAAGGGGTCCAGTTTCTGCACATTGCTAGCTAGTTTTCCCAACACGGTTTATTAAACATGGAGTCCTTTCCCCATTGCTCATTTTTGCGAGGTTTGTCAAAGACCAGATGGTTGTAGATGTGTGATGTTGCTTCTGGGGCCTCTGTTCTGCTCCATTGGTCTATATCTCTGTTTTGGTACCAGTACCATGCTGTTTTGATTACCATAGCCTTGTAGTATAGTTTGAAGTCCAGCAGTGTGATGCCTCTGGCTTTATTCTTTTTGCTTAGGATTGTCTTGGCTATGCAGGCTCTATTGTGATTCCATATGAAGTTTAAAGTGTTTTTTTCCAGTTCTGTGAAGAAGGTCATTGGTAGCTTGATGGTGATAGCATTGAATCTATAAATTACTTTGGGCAGTATGGTCATTTTCATGATATTAATTCTTCCTAATCATGAACATGGCATGTTTTTCCATCTGTTTGTGTGCTCTTATTTCTTTGAGCACTGGCTTGTAGTTCTCCTTGAAGAGGTCCTTTACATCCTTTGTTAGCTGTATTTCTACGTATTTTATTCTCTTTGTAGCAGTTGTGAATGGGAGCAGTTGATTTGCCTCTCTGTTTGTCTGTTATTGGTATATAGGAATGCTTGTGATTTCTGCACATTGATTTTTTATCCTGAGACTTTGCTGAAGTTGCTTATCAGTTTGAGAAGATTTTGGGCTGGGACAATGGGGTCTTCTAGATATACAATCACATTGTCTGCAAATAGAAACAGTTTGACTTCCTCCTTTCTTATTTGAATACTGTTTATTTCTTTTTCTTGCCTGATTGCTCTGGCTAGAACTTCCAATAATATATTGAATAGGAGTGGTGAGAGAGGGCATCCTTGTCTAGTGCCTGATTTCAAAGGGAATTTTTCTAGCTTTTGTCTGTTCAGTTTGATATTGGCTGTAGGTTTGTCGTAAATGGCTTTTATCATTTTGTGATACATTATGTTGATACCTAGTTTATTGCCACCTTGGAAATCTTAAATGCAGCATTGTATCCTGAATGTCTCTCCCTGTCCTAGCTCTATAACTATTTACAGTGAGTAATTCATTAATTTGTGTTTGTCACCTATAAACTTCCCAGTATATTTGTTGCTTTTTATATTTCCTGAGTTGGATATTTAATGCATCTCGTATAAGGCTTTTCCATTGCCTAGCAGGAGCTTCAGCTGTGCCCTTTAGATTTTGATGTACAATATTTTTACTTTTTTTGGTTTTTAGATGCTTTGCAATAGTACTTTTGATTCTCTGTTTTATTTTAGAAGCAAACATTTGAATTTTACAGTAGGTGAAATTGTTTTTCCTATGTGGTGTTAATTTGTTAATTTCCGGTTTTGCATTCTAGTAATAAATGTGGTTTCCTATACTCTTGTTTACTATTAAGGATTTTCTGTTTGGTAGTCTAATAAATAGCTTCTGTAACCATTCCCACAGGTGTTGAACAGAAACTACATTTTATCTAGTTTTATTTATCTATTAGACGAAGCATATCCATTATACTATTACTTTTTTGACTTTATCTGTCAAAGTCTTAGTTACCTAATGTCCCATTTCTATTGTATCATTGTTGACTTCATTTTTTGTTTTCTGAGAATTTTGCTAAAAATGTTTCAAGTATGTTATACATTTAAGGACAGTTGTATTTCATTATGAGTTGTTATCATCTGGTTTCCTCTGTCTAATGTGTTTGTACTTTAAATTCATTATAATTTTAATTCACTACACTTTTGCATTTTTTTTTAAGTTTGCCTGGTATTTAAAAAAAATCCTTTTACTTTAGTTTTGGAGTTCTTTTGGGTTGGATGTCTTTTGAGTTTTTATGTAATTTGAGTTTAAATTTTTACCCAGTACATTTTTTGTTGCAATAAATGTCTTTGCTATTTTTACTTTTTAGCATAAAGCCTTTTTTGTTTTGTCTTTGACATGTAACCTGTGACCTTGTATTTTTTCTCTCTCCATTTATGTTAATTTCAAAGTATCTGGGCCTGTAGTTCATTTTTTTTTTGTTGGACTCACTTCAGGACTATTTCATCAGTCATATTTAAGAGATCTCTCTTGGCTGGTGGCTTACGCCTGTAATCCCAGCACTTTGGGAGGCTGAGGTGGGTGGATTATCTGAAGTCAGGAGTTGGATACCAGCCTAATCAACATGGTGGAACTCCATCTCTACTAAATATAAAAAACGAGCTGAGCATGGTGGCGTATGCCTGTAATCCTAGCTGCTTAGGAGACTGAGACAGGAGAATCGCTTGAACCAGGGAGGCAGAGGTTGCAGTGAGCTGAGATTGCACCATTGCACTCCAGTCTGGGCAACAAGAGCAAAAACTCTGTCTTAAAAAAAAAGGAGAGAGAGATTTTTGTTCAGTGATTGTTCTTTTCCCATAGGATTTTGCTTGTTTTCTTTAATTGGGCTTGTGTGTAGAGGTGGTTCTGATTTGTTTTCTGTGTCAGGTGGGACCATGAGTCCTCTAAGTGGGCCTTTCATCTGCAGAAAACTTCACTGAGTCAGCTGCCCCCTCTTTGTTGCTTGTTTTGTTTTGTGTCTTCATGGAGTAAGGGCTGAGTGGTATATTTTTGGAGCCTGTAAGGATCTGTCTGAAAATTGTTAGTGTCCCCAAAAAATACAGTTGCATAAACCAAAGGTGGAGCTAATTAGGCCAGATCAGGAGTGTCGTGGATGTCAACAGTTGTGGCAGGTTTTCAGTCTATTGTCTTAACTGTGGGCCTTGGCAGATGTAAATGTGGAGAAAGATTGACTTTTGTTACCGATTTGGGGAGATGTTAGGGAGTACTCCAGAGCGATTCATTACAGGCAGCACTTGTTTCAGGGCCACTGGATGCAATTTTCTATTCACTGAGACCCAGGAATAGCCTATGAAAGGCACCATTGCCCTTTTTCTCCCTCAGCCATGACAAGCTAGATGGGATCTTTGAAGCCAGAAGGCACCTGCCTTTGTGGCTTTTCACTTTCTGTGGGAAATCCTTTGGGGAGTTTGCATTCACAGAGGAAAAATGTTTCTAAATAAATTGAGTGAAGTTACAGGAAAATAGAGAAAATAGTATAACAGAGTGTCCATATATCCCTCCACTCATTTTTCCTATTAGTAACATTTTATATTAGTATAGTACATTTGTTACAATTAATAATACTACATTAACTAAAGTCCATGTTTTATTCAAGTTTAATTTTTACCTGATGTCCTTTTTGCTGATCTGGAATCCATCCAGTATACCACATTACATTCTGTCTTCATGCCTCCTTAGGCTTCTCTTAGCTGTGACAGTTTCTCAGACATTCCCTGTTTCTGATCATGCTGACAGTTTTGAGGGAATATTGGTTAAGTATAGAGAACCATCTGTTGGATTCTGGTGTTTTTGTCATTATTAGACTGGGGTTATGGGTTTAGAGCAGGGAGATCACAGAAGTAAAATGCCATTTTTATCACCTTGTCTTAAGTCTGCATACTGCCAACATGACTTACTGCTGTTGATGTTAATCTTTATCACCTGGCTGAGATAGCATTTGTCAGGTTTTTCTACTGTAAATTTACCTTCCCCCTCCCCTGACCATACTATACTCTTTGGCAGGAAATTCCTATGCAGAGCCCATACTCAAGGGATGGGGAGTTATGTTCTATCTCATGGATGACTGAGAATTTGCATAAACTATTTGGAATTTTTCTGCATAGGAGATTTGTTTATTCTCCCCAATTTATTTACTTAATAAGTTACCATTTATATTAGTATGGCTTATGAGTTTTATTTTAATTATTTGAATTATAATCTAATATTTATTCTGTTGCTTATATTGTTCCAGATTTGGCCATAGGGAAGTCTTTCATTTGGCTCCTGTGCACCTTTAATATACCCCAATAAATGTTTTAGTTTTATTTATGTTTATTTTTTGAGCATTTCTTTATGTTATTATAAGATACCCAGTGCTTATCTTGTATGACCTCAGTCCTAGAATGAGCCATTTCTCTAAGAAATCCTGGTTCTTATTGGAGAACAGTATCAGAAACCAAGATCTGGGAGCTAATTGTTCTTTTGCTGCTGGGCTATTCTTGCTTCTAGACCTACTCAGCCAACAGAGCAAGGAAATATGTATTTATATTAATCTATGTATATATACATATCTGTAAACATTTCTGTATGTAACCATCTTCATCTAAATTGAGCCAAATACAAGTTCATACTTAATCTCCAATGCTAATCCATTATCACATGGATGATTTTAGCCTCCTTCCTTTGTTATTTGTAAATTTCTAGTCAAACATTGAGAAACCTTGCTTTCACCATTAATTTGCCACTAAGCTGTCTTTTCATAGTTCTCTGTATATCCTATCCCCTCTGTATATCTGTTCACTAATCCTTATTTGAATGTTGAATGATCTATTCAGGTAGGCATTGCCATGGACAAGGTCACACAAACTTTTGGTCAGTAAGATCTACAAACATTGTGCATATGATCTATTGAGTGCTTACTGTATGTCAAGAAATGAGATGAGAATTTAATCCTATAATTTGATCAGATATTGTTACATCCATTTTACAGTTGAGAACACAAATGGGTTAATATAACTTGGTCAGCTTAATACATATAGTAATTAGTACAGCTGGGATATAAACTGACTACAAAATATGTACTCTCATTCACTATATATTGCCTATAGCAGAGTTTCTAAACCTTGGAATTATTGATACTTTGGGCTGGGTAATTCTTTGCTATAGGGGGCTATCCTGTGTAGGATATTTAGCAACATCCCTGGCTTTTACCTCCTAGATGCCAGGTACAGTCTCTAGCTATAACTATCAAAACTGTCTCTAGACATTGCCAAATTTCCCCTGGTGGCAAAATCTCCCAATCAAGAACAACTAACCTTAGACGATTATAATCAAAATGATGCCTGAGTAGTAAATTGCATCTGGACTTGGAGAACTGTAAATCAAATAGAAAGCTGTATCTGGACTTCCCTGAATGTAGTGACTGCTATAATTTGGCAGGCTCTTTGGGGCAACCCTAAAAGTTGTCCTCAGTTGTTATGAGAGATATTGGCTCCTAGGGGAATTCTTTTGAGTCAGAGTGTTTCCTCTACCACGTTTATGGGTCTTATCTCCCTGTACTTGCAGAGACTCACATTGAAGAAAAGTGAATATTATTCTTTTGCTACCAAGTTGTTTTTTGCCTTCTGAGTAAATTGGTGCCGAATATGACCTGTGGTAGTCTTGCAAGTCTAAATGTTCAGTTGTGCCTAAGACTCCCTGGTGGGCATTGCATACTTGTCCATAGTGAGTCCTAACAAATAAAAACTTTTAATTGTAGTCAGAGACTATACTTTTTTATTTATTCCTAATAATAAAACAGTTTATGGATATTGTTCTAGTATATTTTAAATAATTGCCTCTTACCTTTCTCATGCTATTGCCAGTTTTACTCATCTTACAGAATTTTATTGGCATTTTAATGAGAACTTGGGGAAAGGTTTTTCAGTCACATCTAGTCAGAAGCCTTAATATCCTACCTGAAGATTTGTGTTGCTTAATTTTAAAGTAAAAATTATTTGCTACCTGATACAGAATAAAGCTAATTGCAATTCAATTATGAAGTCTTTTTAAATCCAAGGACTGTTTCCTTTATCATTTGTTTTGAGATGTCTGTGTATCTGTGTGTGTTTCTCTGTCCTTTGGGAAACTGGTTAGGAGAAAGGGAAAGCATATTTTCTCATTCTAAGAAAGAAAAACAAAAATAGAAGGAGAATCCATGATATGTATTTTTTCTTCGGCAATTTTAAGAATATTATTTATGTTTTAATGCTATACTAATAGATGTTTGTTACCTGTGGGTTAATTTCTATCTTTTTTTTTTTTTTTTTTTTTGCAGGTTCTTAGCTCAAGCGCAAGAATTACTGCAATCCAGTAAGGCAGATTTGAAGTATTGTGGGAGTTCTATTTAGGAAGATGCAACCTCTGAGCAAGTTGATGGCTATCTCAAAACCTCAAAACCTGTCTCTACATGAAAAAAGAGACTTTCTGAGAGCAGATCTGTCTTGGCAGCAGGAAACCACCCCTGTCATGGAGACACAGGACTCTGAGGCATCTCGTCAAAAGTTCAGACATTTCCAATATTTGAAAGTGTCTGGACCCCATGAAGCCCTGAGCCAACTCTGGGAGCTCTGTGTTCAATGGCTGAGACCAGAGATTCATACAAAGAAGCAGATCATTGAACTGTTGGTGCTGGAACAATTCCTGGCAGTCCTGCCTGAAGAAGTCAGGACTTGGGTGAATTTACAACATCCAAACAACAGTAAAGATGTGGTGACTCTCATGGAAAATGTGATTGAAATGCTTAAAGATGAAGGTAAGAATATAAAAAAATTAGAGGTAAAATACTTGACCTTTCCATGTGAAGAGAAGTTATCTTTTTTTGAAGTTAGAAGGTATCAAGTGCCAGATATTGAAGGAGTTTGTATTACTGTATTAGGAAGCCTTAACTTTATTCTGTAGGTAATAGAAATAGAGAATTAGATCTCACAGACTGGGAAAGGGAGTGAGACAGCTGGATTTGCCAGTTGAAAATATTATGTTGACATCAATTTAGAGCAGGAGTTGGCAAAATATGGCAAACAAGCCAAATCTTTTTAAAATAAAGCATTATTGGAACACAGCTATGTCAATTTACATTTTGTCTATGGTTGCTTTTGTGCTATAACCAGAGTTGAGTACTTGTAGCAGAGACTGTATTGTCTGCAAAGTCTAAAATATTTGTTATCTGGCCCTTTTTACTGACATCTCTTGTAAAGGAGAGAGTCTGAGGATTCTGAAAATAGGAAAACCAGTTAGGAGACTATTGTGATAGATTAGGTGTTAGAGAATGAGCTTTGGGAAAATAGGAGTTTGAACCGAGAGGAACTATAAACGTACAAAAAGGATACATTTTGAAATAAATTCACATGTACTGGCCTGCATGAGTGGAATTTGGGAAAGGGGAGAAGGGTGTAATACTTTAATTATATGGTAAGTTTTATTTGAGGCCCTTGTGAGATTTTCACAATGAATAAACCAATATATAGTTAACAATATGGCTTTAGTGTTCAGAGAAGATTTGGAAGCTTATAGGTATGAACAGAGAAGTAGGAGAAATACAAATCCTTAGAGAGATCAATATTTAAGAGCTCATCTAGATGTAATTGTCAGTTACAGGAAATACAGATGATAGTGGAACATGTTAAACTATACCATGGTAATACCCTTTTTAAAATCCAAACTGGGAAACTATAAGACAGTCCAGTTTTTAAGGGAATTGGGAGGAGTATGGGAAAGTGAAATAGAGATATATATCTTTTAAGTTTTTTAAATCATGTGAACGTGTGGACCTTATAAGACATGAGGCTGTGACTGGATACTTGCTGAGGAATTATTGACTGGGGACAGTGACTATGTTGATATTGTGGTTATAGTTAGTCTTTAAAAAATATTTTTTTAAATGTGCAAAAGAAAAGCCAGGTAAACAGCCTAGAAAGAAATAATTTAGGAAGTCAGAGAACCAGAAAAGATTGGTATCTGAGTTTAAAAAGGAGAAATTTTCAAGAAGTGAATGTTCAACAATGGTATAACAAAAAGGTCTTATTAAGATGAATATTAAAAGTAATTTACTGAAATTGTTGATTAGGAGGAATTTTAAGCTTTAGTTTGAGCAGTTTTAGAGGATTTGAGGGGTGCTTATTTGTAGTGAGTTGTATTAGTTTTCTATTGCTACTGTATTAAATTGCCACAAACTTGTTGGCTTAAAACAACATGAATGTAGTATTCTACACGTCTGTAGATCAGAGATCCAACATGGGTCTCCCTCAGCTAAAATCAAGGTAATGGTGGAACCATTTTCTTTCTGGGGCTTATGTTCCCCTTCCCCTGTCTTCAGAGCTAGCAACAATAGACCAAGTCCTTTTTAAACTGCTGCATCTCTGATGCTTTATTCTGTTGTCACAGCACTTGCTCACTCATGGTGCTTCTTACTATTTCACCACACTGGGAAAAGTTCCTCACTTTTCAGGATTCATGTGATTAGCTTGTGATCACACAGATAATTCAAGATGATCTCCCTCATCTTAAGGTCCTTGACTTTAATCACATCTGCAGAGTAACTCATGCTATGTATCCAAGGACTAAGACATGGATATCTTTGGGGGCTGCTATTCTGCCCACAATGTAGATTAAAAAAAAAAAAAGCATGAAGTGGGAATGTGATCATGATTATAGACTATTCTTGAGAAATCTAGTAGAAAAGGAAAATGAGAGGTTGCAGGGTAATATAAAACTGAAGAAAGGCTTTTGGTGGTTTCTTTGATTTGTCTGGTGCCTTTCTGAAAAGCCTGCTCGTAGGTCTTGCCCTAATTTTACCTAGCTCAAGTCACTCAGGACTGAGATGGCTACCTGGGGTGTATTTGTTAAAATCATGGAAATGTATTAGCTACTGCTGTCTTAGATAATAAATAACTGTTGAGATGTAGAACTAACCAAAAAGATTAGGAGGAAAGGCTGGAGAATGATATGCTTTGAAGGAATAAGGGATTATGAAAGCTCCCACATTATATCTGAAAATCTGGAAGCTTGGTGACATGTTCAGAAAGACCTAAGAAAGCCCTAAGCCTCACCTCTAGCTGACCTTCAGGTGCTACACAGGAAGTAAAGACTAAGGTAGAGTTAAAACTGAGTGTTGAGCGTGCCCTAACACACACAATGCATCTGCAGAGACCAGGTGATGGCTTTTGTTTTTGATTTTGTTTTTATATTTCAAGGCATTTAAGAAAACCTCTGTGGAGTGACAAGCTTACCACTAAGCTGAGGAAACAGAGATTCATGCAGGTACACACAACATAGAATATAGACTTTACAAAATTAGTTCAAAAGTTAATAAATGAGCAATGACTATAACAGTCAGAGCCTCAAAATATATGAAGCAAATACAGAAGTGAAAGAGAAATAGTTCAACAATAATAATTGGAGATTTCACTTTTATTAACAGATAGAAATATTAGAAAAAAGATTAAAAAGGAAATAGAAGACTTGAGAAACACTATAAACTGGCTTGAACTAACAAATATACAAAGTGTTCTACACCAAAAACAACAGAAGATATGTTTTCAAGTATATGTGGAATAGTCTCCAGGATAGACCAAATGTTAGACCAAAAAACAAGTTTCAGTACATTTAAGTAGATTGATATTCTGTAAAGTATCTTTTCCAACAGCAGCAGAATTAGAAATCAGTAACAGAAGGAAATCAGGATAATTCACAGATAAGTAGAAATTAAAAGTCACATAATCAATGGACCAAAAAGGAAAGCACAAGGGAAATGAAAAGATATTTTGAGAAATGGAAACAAAAATACAACATATCAAAACTTATGACATACAGTATGTCATAAGGCATGGCTCAAATTATGGCTATAAATGCCTACATTAAAAAAGATCTCAAATAACCCTCCAGCTGAAGGAACTAGAAAAAGAAAAACTAAAAGCAAGATGAAGAAGGTAAATAAATATTAGAGCAAAGATAAATGATGTGGAGAACACAAAATAATAGAACCAACAAAACTAAAGTTGGTACTTTAAAAAGATCAGCAAAAGTGACAAAGGTTTAGCTACACTGATCAGGAAAAAAGGACTCAAATTACTAAAATCAGGAAAAGCGGGGACATTACTACTGACCTATGAAAGGGCTCATAGAATACTATGAGAAATTCAATGCCAAAAAATAAGATGCACTTAGATGAAATCCACAAATTCCAAAAACACAAAGGACCAAAACTGACTGAGAAGAAATAGAAAATCTGAACTCAACTCACCAATAACAAAAGACTGAATTAGTTAATTGTAAACTTTCAACAAAGAAAACTTAAAGATGATATGGCTTCACTGGTGAATGCTACTAAACTTTTGAATAATTAACACCAATATTCTCAAACTCTTTCAAAAAATGGGAGGAACACTTACTAACTTATCCTGTGAGGCAAGTATTAATCTGATGCCAAAGCCAGACAAAGGCATCACAAGAGGAGAAAATGGCAAACCAAATCCAACAGCATTTTAAGAGGATTATATAAAATGACGTAGTGGAATTTATCCCAGAAATGCAAGTATGGTTCAACCAATGAAAATATATCAGTGTCATATTAATACATCATATTAATACAGTGAAAAGGGAAAATTACAAGATTATCTCAATGGATGCAGAAAAAGCATCTGATAAAATCCAATGCCCTTTTATGACCAAAAAAGAAAAAAAGATAGGACTAGAAGTGAGCTCACTCAACCTGACAAAGGGCACTTAGGAAAAACCCACAGTTAACATTGTACTTGATGAACTTGATGAAAAGTGAAAGCTTTGTCCTTAGAATCAGGAACAAGACAAGAATGTCCATTCTTGCCACTTATATTCAATGTCATACTAAAGGTTCTAGCTATTGAAAGGAAGAAGTAAAACTATCTCTACTGGCAGATGATACACTCTTATATTACCAAAATTCTAAAGAACCCAGTAAAAAACTACTAGACCTAATAAATTCAAAGTTGCAGGATACAAGATCAACAAAAAAAGATGATGTCTCTATAGCAATGAACAAACTTAAAAAGAAACCAAGAAAATAATTTCATTTATAAAATGTGAAAAACAATCAGAGGTATTGGACTTGTATGCTGAAAACTACCAACAATTGTTTAAATAAAAGACCGAAGTAAATCCTGTGTTCATATATTAGAAAACTTAATATTCTAAAGATGATAATACTCCCAAAAAGCAATCTACAGATTCAAATGCAATTCCTATCAAAATCCCAGCTGCCATTTTTTTTTTTTTTGGCAGAAATAGACAAGCTGATCCTGATGCTCATATAGAATTGGAAAGGACCCAAAATAGTCAAACTGCCTTCATAAAGAATATAGTTTTAGAATATATACTTCTTAATTTCAAAACTTACTATAAAACTGCAATAATGAAAGCTATGTGGTATTGGAATAGAATTGTGAGTCCAGAAATTCATACATCATGTCCAATTAATTTTTGACAAGGGTGCCAAGACATTAAATTAGAAAATAATAGTTTTTCAAAAAATGTTTCCGGGACCACTTGTTTCCATATTCAAAAGATTGGAGTAGGGGCCTTACCTCATATTATGTACAAAAAATGAACTCAAAATGGGTCAATTGTCTAAATATAAGAGCTAAAATCATAAAATTCTGAGAAGAAAATACAGGAATAACTCATCACCTTAAATTTGGTAATCAATGCTTAGCTATGACACCAAAAATACAAGCAACAAAAGAAAAAGTAGATAAATTAGACTATCAAAATTAAAGACTTTTGTGCATCAAAAAACATCAAGGCAGTGAGAAACGTACAGAATAAGAAAAAATATCTTGAAAATCATATCTGATAAGGGTCTAATATCAGGAAAATATAAAGAACTCTTACAATTTGATAACATGATAAGCAATACAATTTTTTAAATGGATGAAAGACTTGAATGGATATTTCTCCAAAGAAGATATACAAATGCCCCAAAAGCATAGGAAAAAAGTTTCAGCATCATTAGTCATTAGAGAATAGCAACTCAGGACCATGACACCCACTAGGATGGCTATAACAAATTACAAAAAAAGGAAAAAGAATGAGGTTAGCTAGGATGTGGAAGAATTGTTTGGAATTGTATATTGTTGGGAATATAAAATGGTTCAGCCACTGTGAAAAACAGTTTGATGGTTCCTCAAAAAATTAAACATAGAATTACCATATACCCCAGAGAATTGAAGACCCATATTCACATTATAAAATAGAAACAAGGGCCAGGTGCGGTGGCTCGCACCTGTAATCCCAGCACTTTGGGAGGCCAAGGTGGGCAGATCACAAGGTCAGGAGATTGAGACCATCCTGGCTAACACAGTGAAACCTGGTCTCTACTAAAAATACAAAAAATTAACTAGGTGTGGTGGCACGCGCCTGTAGTCCCAGCTACTCAGAAGGCTGAGGCAAGAACCACTTGAACCCAGGAGGCAGAGGTTGCAGTGAGCTGAGATCATGCCACTGCACTCCAGCCTGGATGACAGAGCAAGCCTCCATCTCAAACACACACACAGACACACACACACACACCTCCAAAACATGCTAAGTGAGAGAAGTCAGACAGAAAAGGTCACATATTATACAATTCAATTTATGTGGAATGTCCAGAATAGGCAAATTCATAAAGACAGTATGAGGAAAGCAAGTATATGGGAGTGACTCCTAAATAAATATGGGGCTCTTTCTTGGTAATGAAAATGTTCTGGAATTAGATAGTGGTGATCATTGCACAACATTATGAATGTATTAAAAGCCACTGAATTGTATGCTTTAAAATAGCTAATATGGTGAATTTTATATTATATGAATTTTACCTTGTTTTAAACTTAAAATCTAAGCTTCATAGAGAATGAAGTGACTTCATGAGAGGCATGATAGAATGGGAGAAAATGAAAGAATTAATTTAGTGTAGTAGGACTCTGATAAAAGTTGGAGAATATGCAAAAAGCAAGGATGTGAAAATTGAAAGGATAGGAAGATACATTTTGCAATTGATTTATCCAAGTTTATTTTCATGGTAGGATAGTTCTAAGTAATAAATATCAGGGTATGAACAAGGAAGTAGATTGGTTGCTGATGGTTGTTAGAAATAAGAAAGTCAAAGGTCTATCAGTCTGGGTCTATCAGAAGGGTTGTCTGTGCCAGTGTTGAAGTTACCTATTAAAGGACTCTCAGGATTTGGAGTGGAAAGCAACAATGTGAACCAAGTAACCAAAGTTTTTATTAGCCTAGTACAATTACTTTAGTGTTGGTCATTCACAATATACTAGGCTCTCTGAGGGCAGGTATTTGTGTATCTCACATAGGAGATAGTAAATGTGTGTTGAAAAAAATCAATGTGCAACAGCTTAATACATTACAAGATCAAGAACAGTATAGCTAAATGGCATAAACCAGTAAGCAATATTTTTGCATGAGAGAAAATATGAGAAAGTGGAAGGGAGGTACAAGTATATCAGAACAATTTTCAAGATCACAGTGATTAGAGGATACAAAAAGGTGCCTTTGATGATGATTTAGATAAGGGAGAAGGAAGAGACTACAAAGAACTTGAGACTGTATATAGATTTTTCTTTTAATGGAATGAGCTCTTCAGAGAACACAATGTAAGAGTTCAAGAAGGGCAGGTCAGCAGGGAAGAAGTAAGGGAAGAAAAGGATCTTCGGAGAGCAGTAAACAAGAGGATAGCTGATTGGAGGCATTTGCACCTTTCCAAGATACCTCAAATATTTCAAAGAATGTCAAGAATAAGAAACAGTATTGTATTGACTGTCCTAAAGATTATGGAATGGAGCAGATTGACATTCCATGTAGTGTTACAGACCTGAGTAAAGTTAACAGATATTAGAGCCAAGCTCACACTTGTAATCCCAACTCTTTGAGAGACTAAGGCAGGAGGATCACTTGAGGCCAGGTAACATTGCAACACCCTGTCTCTAAAAAAAGAAAAAAGAAATTATCCTACCATGGTGGCATGTGCCCGTAGCCTTTGCTGTTCAGGAGGCTGAGGCAGGAGGATTGGTTGAGCCCAGGAGTTTGAGATTGTAGTGAGGTATAATCGCACCACACTGCATGCCAGCCTGGACCAAGCGAGACTGTGTCTCTTAAAAAAAAAAAAAAAAAAAAGGTTAACGAACCACAATCTTTGCAGCATTCACATGGTATGTTACTGAGAAATTTGGATCTTTGTTTGCCTTTATTTACACAGAGTCTCACTCTGTCACCAGGGCTGGAGTGTGGTGGTGAAATCACCACTCACTGCAGCCTCCACCTCCTAGGCTCAGGTGATCCTCCTGCCTCAGCCTCCCAAGTAGATTGGACCACAAGAACACACTCCCATACCTGGCTAATTCAGTAGTATTATTTTCAGAGAAGGGGATGCCCCTATGTTGCTTAGGCTGGTCTTACATGCTAGGCTCAAGCATTCCTCCCACCATGGCTTCTCCAAGTGTTGGGATTACAGGTGTGAGCTACCACGCCTGCCCTGATGTGTTTTAAGAAGTCCCCATGCAGTTGTTTACATTATCGTTGAATCCAATTATACATTTATAATGGAGAATTAATGCTTACTATTATAATGCTGCATGGTTCTAAGATTTTTGGGGGTTTCAAAGGTCACTAAAAGTTTTTTAAAATGCAAGTGGAGACAATATAGATTTACCAGCTCCTTTTAAGTAAAAACATTTTTAAAATCAATATTTAACACATTAGAAGACATTTTAATGTCAAAGAAAGTCCCTTATCTTGAATAAATGTAATGTTATAGCAAACTTACTACATTGTTTCTACTCTTTTTATTTCACCCTGAATCAGTGAAAACTTCATCACAGACCAGCATTAGTCCATAGTCTGGCACTTAAGGATTACCAATGTAACTCATGAATCTTCCAGAGTGGCCCTTGGATAAACTTCTCACTGAATGACTGGATAAGAGAATTGGTTCTCCTTCAGAATTTTATGTCTTGAAAAAAGCGATAGTTCAAGGTGGACAGGTTGTTTAAATCTATGTATAGTAAGCACATAGCAACTTACAGGAAAACAATCTTTGAACAGAATTCTCTCTGGTGTGTTTGAGGAAGGGATTGATTGGACAAAATATTATTAGTTCCAAGTAGAATTACAGCCTGTGATGGCTAAGCTATAGTTAGGCTTTAGTTACGACAAAATTGGTTATTTTTTAGAATCTGCTATAACCGTAGATGAGGTCTGAAAATATTATTTTGTCCCTCTTTCTGATTCAATAGATCTCAAGCCCTGGTAGCATATCAGAATCACATTAAAATAAAAAAAAATACAAGATCTAGGCCTGACCTTTGAAGATTGTGACTGATGGTAGTGCCTGGCATTATTTTTTCAAAGTTCTGTGGATAATTCCTGGTAATATCATATTAAAACAACTATAATTATTAGAGGTTGCTCCCGGGCAAAACTTGTCTCCCTAATATTTTCCTTCATCTTCCTCAGATACACCCTGCAAGGACTCTGTGCCCCAGAAGGCGAGCATCAAGGATAAAATGAAGGCTGACTCACTAACAGGCAAACCACAGGTGAATTAAGATTCTAGTCTTTACTGAACATATATGCTTGTTTTTAGTATTACCCGCCTTCACTTTTTTGACCTTTGAACTTTGCCATGCATGGTTCCATCCAAGGACATGAGACTTTAATTTTCCTACAGGACATTGGACCTGTTTTAGTTGGTGATACACTCTTAGCCAGATACTCTCTGTGTATCTGTTCCCTCAAAAATATAGTTTCTGTTTTATCTTTAGAAGCTATAGATGTAGAGTCTACTCAGAAAATGTTGAGAATTAAGGCTCAAGAGTAGAATCCAGAGCAGTGTCATTTACTAGGCAAGAGTAGAAGAAACCTCAAAGCATACTAAAAAGACAGGACCAAAGATGTAGGGGAAAGCTAGGGAAACAGGACATCGCTGAGGCCAAGGGATGAGAATATTTAAGGGAAAAAATGCTTTAAAAGGTCAAGATAATACAGTCCAAGTAGTGTCTATTCACTTATTGTGGCGATACTAAAATGCAGAGGAATCTAAGCCAGATTGTGGTGTGTTGAAGAAAAAGGAGGTGAGGCAGCAGACAACTTACTCGTGAAGACTGGCTTGAAGGAGAGGAAAGGAAGATGTTTATATAATTTCAGTGTGATTGAAAGTGCCAATAAAGACAAGGTTGAGATGCTAGAGAGAGTGGAATAATTGATGGTGTGATACAGGAGAGAATTAATTCATTAGCCAATATTTTATGTAGTGCATAGTATGCCAAATACTTTTATGAGGGTTGAAAATAAGATTGATAAAATGAAATTCCAGCCTTGTGAAAATCGCATTCTAGTAGAGGTATACAGGCAAATACAAGCCAAATAAGATAATTGTAAATAGTAATAATTATTACACAGAAAATAAACAATTGTAGTTGTAACTGATTAGCAGGGAGGATACTTTGGGCAGTCAGGCAATCTTGCCTATTTGATGAGTGACATTAAACTGTGAGTCCCAAATGATAAGAGTTAGTAGGCAGCATTTCTCAAAGAAAATGCGCTACCTTTCCTCCCAGCAGAGCCTAAATTTTCGTAACAAATTTTCCTCAGAACTCTACAAACTCTTCCTGTTCTGAACTCCTTTTATGTAAATTATTTGTTCAGCATAATAATTTTTCGTTCGACAGTTATTTCAGTTGTCTTTCCCTCAACCATAATGTAAGCTGCTCTAGAATAAGGACTGCACTTCACTTTTTTTTTTTGCAGCCCTCACAGAGTATATATAATGCCAATTTGATTGGCCCTTAATACAATTTGATTTTCATCACTTAGAAACTAAAACATTGTCCTATCAATTCCTTGTGTATTCTGGCTCCTACCCTATTCCTTCAAATCCATTCCTCCTCTGGTAGTGTTTTGGGGAATGACACCTTTGATTAAAAAGGAACTTAATGTTTTAGGAACCAGTGACATTCAAAGATGTGGTTGTGGAATTCAGCAAGGAAGAGTGGGGGCAACTGGACTCTGCTGTAAAGAACCTGTACAGGGATGTGATGCTGGAAAACTTTAGGAACCTGAATTCATTGCGTAAAGGTGGTTTCTATATGTTTACCTAATCTGTCAATTTAGTAGTCTCTTCCTACTGCTAAAAGCTATAGGACTGCTGAAATGGCTATGTTCACTTTTTGGGTCTGGGTTCAGGCTTGCTAATATCCTTTGGACACAGTAGCAGATTTTCTGACTCTTAATCTGGTTGAAGTTCTTTCTGATATTGAACCAGAGAAACACAAGTCCATGGTGCTCTTCTGGCCTTACCCTTCAGCAGCTTAGATTACTGTGTTGAGATATAATTATCTTCCCTACAAAAATGTCTGAAAGTGTTATATATGTTAGCTGTTATTCTTTTTATTTTCTCCACGAACAGCACATCTACTTTCCAAACCAGTTGAGAGCCTTGAGTTGAAGAATAAGAAGAAAAGATGGATAACGGAGAAAGAAATATCAAGGAAGACTATTTCTGGTAAGAACCAGATAGATATGAGGCCATAATAAGAAGCCTCTCTTTCTTAAATATACAGATAATGTGCAACCTAATCTTTGAATTGTTAGTTGGGAAGGAGATAGCAAAACCTACACTTTGGGGGGAAAAATACATCATTGCCTTTCGTTCACAGGTTCTTTTTCTTATGTGGTAAAATAGTCACATAAGGTTAAGGATAGGATCACAGACACTTAAAGCTGTGTGACCTGAGAGAACCTTTGTGCCAGTTTCCTCATCTGTAGCATAGAGTAATAATAATACCTACCTTCTGGTTACTGTGAGTACTAAATGAGTTGGTGTGCCTAACACACTTAGAACAGTATGTGGTCTGTGGTAAGTGCTACATCAGTGACTATTAGCCAACCTAACATTGAATGTTATTCTGTATTTTTTTTTATTGCATTTTAGGTTTTGGGGTACATGTGCAGAGCATGCAATACAGTTGCGTAGGTACACACATGGCAGTGTGTTTTGTTTGCTTTCCCCCCTTCACCCACATTTGGCGTTTCTCCCCAGGCTATCCCTCCCCACCTCCCCCTCCCACTGGCCCTCCCCTTTTCCCCCCAATAGACCCCAGTGTTTAGTACTCCCCTCCCTGTGTCCATGTGTTCTCATTTTTCATCACCTGCCTATGAGTGAGAATATGTGGTGTTTCATTTTCTGTTCTTGTGTCAGTTTGCTGAGAATGATGTTCTCCAGATTCATCCATGTCCCTACAAACGACACGAACTCATCATTTCTGATTGCTGCATAATATTCCATGGTGTATATGTGCCACATTTTTCCAATCCAGTCTATCATCAATGGGCATTTGGGTTGATTCCAGGTCTTTGCTATTGTAAACAGTGCTGCAATAAACATTCGTGTGCATGTGTCCTTATAGTAGAATGATTTATAGTCCTTTGGGTATATACTCAGTAATGGGATTGCTGGGTCAAATGGAATTTCTATTTCTAAGGCCTTGAGGAATCGCCACACTGTCTTCCACAATGGTTTGACTAATTTACACTCCCACCAACAGTGTAAAAGTGTTCCTTTTTCTCCACATCCTCTCCAGCATCTGTTGTCTCCAGATTTTTTAATGATCGCCATTCTAACTGGCGTGAGATGGTATCTCAATGTGGTTTTGATTTGCATCTCTCTGATGACCAGTGACGATGAGCATTTTTTCATATGATTGTTGGCCTCATATATGTCTTCTTTCGTAAAGTGTTTGTTCATATCCTTTGCCCACTTTTGAATGGACTTGTTTGTTTTTTTCCTGTAAATCTGTTTGAGTTCTTTGTAAATTCTGAATATCAGCCCTTTGTTAGATGGGTAAACTGCAAACATTTTTTCCTTATTCTGTATTTTAAAGAAAGTAAATTGACTTTATACTAGAGTGATTTCTAGTAATCTTCCATTTTTCCTTTTTCTTTTTTAACCCTATATCACTTATTTTGATTTCTGGAAACAGAGTTCTCACTGTGTTGCCCAGGCTGACCTCAAACTCCTGAGCTCAAGTGATCCTCCCTCTGCAGCTTCCACTGGAGAACTTCTTAACTTTTGTCTTAACTCCCTATTTTCATCATTTTTAAAATTCTTCATTCTTGTTAATACTTTTTATAAGAGAAAATTATTGTGCGATTAATATAAGTTCTAGTAAGTATAGAGAAATAAAACAAGGAATATAACTCACCCAATACTTCACTCTCCAGAGCTATGTAGTATTAAGTTTTTTTAAGCCATTTTCTTTCTTTGTAATGTTGTATCTCTGTGGTTTCTGAAGATTTCTCTTCTGAAATTGTGGAACAGTTTTCAAAATTTTTCTAAAAGTCATCAGGAATATGTCATTTTATATCCTGCTCTTTTCACCTAAAATGCCATCATGAGTGATTACCTGTGCCACTAAATAATCTTTGAATATGTGGTTTCCAATTCCCATATAATATTCTATTATATCATAATATATTTAACCATCTCCCCGCCCCTCCTCTGTTAGACTTTTAGGCTGTTGCCCATTTTTCAGGCATGTCTGATAACTTCCATAGGATACCCTATTAGAAGAGGAGCTTGACATTAAAGAATATAAATGCACTTAGTTGTCTTGTTATGTTTTGCCAAATTGCCTACAGAAAGGTTATACCAATTCATACTCTCACTAATAATAGAGTATTATTATCGCTTTATTATCATCCTATCAAACACTGGGTATTATTTACCTGAATTCTTTATTAATTTGAAAGTCAAATTACTCTTTTCTCCCTTTCTAAAATAAATACCCTCCGTCCCCATCCCCATTGTGCTTTGGACTTCACTTCTCCCTATCTTTTCTCACTTACATTTTTACCATTTCTGTCTCATCTTTCCATCAGCTTTTTAACCTTTTTCTGGTCATGACTAATTTTTTTTTAAATGTTTATTTTTGTTTTACTTTAGCTATATACTATATCCAGCATTTCTCCCTGTGTTATCCCTCCCCACCCTCTCCACCCACTGTCCCTCCCCTACCCCCCACAAACTGCCCCCATTGTGTGATGTTCTCCTCCCTAAGTTCACATGTTCTCATTGTTCAACACCCACCTATGAGTGAGAACATGCAGTGTTTGGTTTTCTGTTCTTATGTCAGTTTGCTGAGAATGATGGCTTCCAGATTCATCCAGGTCCCTACAAAGGACACAAACTCATCATTTTTTATGGCTATGTAGTGTTCCATGGTGTATATGTACCACATTTTCTTTGTCCAGTCTATCGTTGATGGGCACTTGGGTTGGTTCCAGGTCTTTGCTATTGTACATAGGGCTGCAATGAACATACATGTGCATGTGTCTTAATAGCAGAGTGATTTATAGTTCTTTGGGTATATACCCAGTAATTGGATTGCTGGGTCAAATGGAATTTCTATTTCTAGATCGTTGAGAAGTTGCCATACTGTCTTCCACAATGGTTGAATTAATTTACACTCCCACCAACTGTGTAGGAGTGTTCCTGTTTCTCCACATCCTCTCCAGCATCTGTTGTCTCCAGATTTTTTAAGGATGGTCATTCTAACTGGTGTGAGAGGGTATCTCAGTGTTGTTTTGATTTGCATTCTCTAATGCCCAGTGATGATGAGCATTTTTTCATATGTTTGTTGACCTCATATAAGTCTTCTTTTGAAAAGTGTCTGTTCATATTCTTCACCCACTTTTGAATGTGGTTGCTTGTTTTTTTTCTTGTATATCTGTTTTAGTTCTTTGTAGATTCTGCATATTAGCCCTTTGTCAGATGGGTAGATTGAAAAAATTTTTTCCCATTCCATTGGTTGCTGGTTTGCTCTAATGATGGTTTCTTTTGCTGTACAGAAGCTCCGAATTTTAATTAGATCACATTTGTCTGTGTTGGCTTTTGTTGCCATTGCTTTTGGTGTTTTAGTCATGAAGTCCTTGCCTGTGCCTATGTCCTGGATGGTTTTGCCTCCATGTTCTTCTAGTGTTTTTATGGTGTTAGGTTTTATGTTTAAATCCTTTATCCATCTGGAGTTAATTGTAGTGTAGGGTGACAGGAAGGGGTCCAGTTTCTGCTTTCCACACATTGCTAGCCAGTTTTCCCAACACAGTTTATTGAACACGGAGTCCTTTCCCCATTGCTCGTTTTTGTGAGGTTTGTCAAAGATCAGATGGTTGTAGATGCGTGGTGTTGCTTCTGGGGCCTCTGTTCTAATCCATTGGTCTATGTCTCTGTTTTGGTTCCAGTACCATGCTGTTTTGATTACTGTGGCCTTGTAGTATAGTTTGAAGTCCAGCAGTGTGATGCTTCTGGTTTTGTTCTTTTTGCTTAGGATTGTCTTGGCTATGTGGGCTCTTTTGTGATTCCATATGAAGTTTAAAGTGGTTTTTTTCCAGTTCCGTGAAGGTCATTGGTAGCTTGATGTTGATAGCGTTGAATCTATAGATTGCTTTGGGCAGTATGGCCATTTTCATGATATTAATTCTTCCTAACCATGAGCATGGATGTTCCAATTTTTAAAAGTTTTCTTTCAACCCTACATCCTCTTCTAGCTATTACTGTCTTTCTTACCTCTTCTTTGTAGCCAAACTTCTCAAAGTACTTTATACCTGTTTTTTTCATTTCCTAACCTCTTATTCTACATTCCAATTTAGCTCTTACCCTGACATTCATCTGAAACAGCTGTTGCTAAAGTCTTTAATGACTTCATGTAGCTAATTCCTGTAGATATTTTGGAGAAATTCCTTAATCTCACTTGAATTCTCAACAGCAAGTTACACTGTTAACTGTACTTCTTTCTTAAAATATTTTTAGGTTCTTGTAATACTTCTGATTTTCTTCTTTGTTTGGCTATTCTATCTCTATCTTTTGCAGGCTTAGCTTTCTCTAGCTTTCCAATAAATTTCAGTTTCTCAACATTTAATCTTGTTTTTTCTTCTCTTCTTGCTCTTTTCTTCCCTAGTTTGTTACAACCACAACTAAAACTTAAATTATCTCACATATATAGGGGATTTACAGATGTATATCCTTACCTCAGACTTTTTCTTCGGGGGTTTATATATGCCATGATATTTCTCTGGGATATCTTAAAGATGCCTTAAATTCCATGAAACCAAAGTCTGATATATTTTCCCCCTTTCTACTCTTCTATTATTCCTCGAGTCAATGACACTGCCATCTACCTAGTTACACAAGATATGCTTTAACTATTCTTGACACAACTTCTCCTTTACCTGTGTAATGTTTGTTTCTATTTTACTTTTCTGTTACCTCGTGAATGTCTCTGCTTTTGTCCATCTGTGTGCTGCTATGTTAGTTCAGGTACCATCATCTCTCACCTGAACCGCCACGTTGGCATACTTTTTAGCTGTGTTATTTTTGCCCCAACTCCAATCTTTGAGCCGTACTGCAACCAAAGAGATAAGATTTTGTGATCTGCAATTTTTAAATACTATATTGATTTCAGTATTGTTTATTTCACAACATTCTATTTCCTGCCTACTTCTCCAATCTCATCTGGCACCACATCCTCCCCTCACTTTTTGTACTCAGGCCATACCTATCTGCTTTTAGCAAATCAATATCAAATACATACTAAGCATCTACATACTGTGTCCTAAGCACTCTGATAGGTTTTGGGGTACAGTAGAGAAAAGATGATTCTAAGGGAACACATTCTGGTTGTCCCTTGAATGTGGCTTGCAGTCTCCCATCACAGGACCTCTGTACATGATTTTTACATAGAATGCTCTTCTCCCTGTTCTTTACCTAATTGACTCTTATTCCTCAAATCCCAAATAAGTCCACATTTCCTTAAGGAAGTCTTTCCTCAGTTTTTTTCTGTTGTACACTTGCACAGCACCTTATTCTCCTTTTACCAGTTATCATAATTATATTTTACATGTATCTCTGTGAATATTTGTCTCCCACACTAGGGTATATGTTCCTTGAGGGTAGGCATAATGTTTGTGTTTACCCTGCTTTTACATCTCTAGACCTTGGTGCATATAGGAATCAGAAAAAAAAAGGATGGATGAATAGATATTAGATAAGAAAGGTAAGAATTATTTTTTTGGTTGTCATTTAGTAAATGGTTGTTTATATCCTTTATTGATTAAAGCTGTAGGGGTTTTTAATTAATATATTAACATCCTCTATGAATTCTATGGATCACAGTGTGGCAAATGAGATATCTCAGAGTTTTGTTTTTTTACGTTTATTCATGGTGTATGCCACACATTTTTAAAATTTGTGTTAACTGTATATTTCCCCATTGTTTTATATCTCTTCATTTTATACACGGTTTTCCATCCTAAAAGCTAGCAAACATTTTCTGATTTTATTCTAATTTCATCTATTTCTTTGTCTAAGCATAATAAATTAATCTAGAATTTACTTCAGTAAGTGTAACTTATTTTCTCAAGTTAATGGATTGTGGTAGATTAAAGATGCCCACAAAATCTATGTCATAGTCTCCATCATGATGTAGACTTTGCCAGCGCAGGAACATTTCTTGAAGCCAGGAATTCAAGACCAGACTGGGCACCATGGCAAGACTCCATCTCTACAAATAATAAGCTGTGCATGGTGGTGCATACCTATAATAGTAGCTGCTTGGAGGATTGCTTGAGTTCAGGAGTTGGAGGCTGTGGTGAGCTGTGATTGCATCACTGCACCCTATCCTGACAACAGAGCAAGACACCATCTCTTAAAAAAGAAAAAGAAAAAAGGCCGGGGGCAATGGCTTATGCCTGTAATTCCAGCACTTTGGGAGGCAGAGGGGGGTGGATCACAAGGTCAAGAGATTGAGACCATCCTGGCCAACATGGTGACAAAAATTAGCTGGACATGGTGGCTCACACCTGTAGTCCCAGCTACTTGGGAGGCTGAGGCAGGAGAATTGCTTGAAGCTGGGAGGCAGAGGTTGCAGTGAGCCGAGATCGCGCCACTGCACTCCAGCTTAGTGCCTGGCAACAGAGCCAGACTGTCTCAAAAAAAATTGAAGTTATATGGAAAGCATGAGTTGCAAGACCTGAGTAAAAAAGATTTACTTGGTCAAATACAACTGGAAATTCTGCTATTACATAAATACTACTAGAACACTGTTTTTGGCTATCTGTTACTTTTAACAGATTACCCAAAACATAGTGACTTAAAAGAGCAATCATTTTATTAGTTCTCAAATTTTGTGAGTTGACTAAGGAGTTCCTATGTTCTATATGATGTTAGCTGGTAATGCAGTGTTCGAGGGCTCAAATGGAATGGAATGGAATATCCAAGATGGCACATCACATGGGTGGAATGCTGGCTGTTCCTCAGAACTTAACTGCTTTTTTTTTCAATTGTGCTTTAAGTTCTGGGGTACATGTGCAGATCTTGCAGAACTGTTGCATAGGTACACACATTCTATGGTGGTTTGCTGTCTCCATCCCCCCGTCACCTACATCAGGCATTTCTGTCAGTGTTATCCCTCCCCATCTCCCTGCCCCTCACTGTCTCCTGTCAGACCCCCAACAGACCCCAGTTTGTGATGCTCCCCTCCCTGTGCCCATGTGTTCTCATTGTTCAACATTCACCTATGAGTGAGAACATGTGGTGTTTGGTTTTCTGTTCTTGTGTCAGTTTGCTGAGAATGATGGCTTCCAGATTCATCCATGTCCCCATGAGGGATACAATTAACTGTTCTTATGGACCAGAGCACCTACATGTGGCATTTCTTTGAGTCTTGGGCTTCTCACAGCAAGGTGGCTGAGTTCTAAGAGGCGACATCCTGAGAGAAATCAGAAGCTATCATCTTAAAGGCTAGATCCAGAACAGTATCACTTCTGCCACATTCTATTGGCTCAGCAATCATAGGATCAGCCCAGATTCAAGGAGAAGCAGAATAAACTCTATTTCTGTATGAGGAGTGTGGCAAAGGATGTACATCCATTTTGATCTACCATAATCTGTCCTCTGGCTACAAAATATCTATGTTCCTCCCCCTTGCAAAATATATTTACTCTCTCCTAAGACCCTAAGGGTCTTACCTATTATGGCATCAAGGTTGAAGTCTAGGATCTCATAATCTACATTAGGTCCAGGTTTGGAAGATATTTCTTTCTCTGAATTCTTATGAATTAAAGGGACAAGCTGTCTGCCCCCACACACCCAGTGTACACTGGTGAGACAGAGGCAGGAAATTTTATAAAATAATAGAACAAAAGCACATATTTGATTTGAGAGATGAAGGACAATGGTTATTCAAGTTTTTTTTTAATGGACTCCAGTATAAATATTAGAAAAGCATTGACTCAAACAAAAATGAAGACATCGAAGGAAGTTCTTTCACCATGGAAGATAACTTCAGTCTCTCATTTGTTTAGAGGACTATGATAGTCAAGTAGAGATGTCTTGGAGAGTGATGAAAACAAGGGACAGTAATATCTGTGAGTGCAAAGCTGATGTGATTTGGTCACCAATAAATGTTGGAGAATAAAATTATTAGGCATACTTGAAGTTACAAGGAAAAAGAAGTCAGTGAGATTTAATTTTTTAAAAATCACTAGAACATATAAAATACTGAGTATATAGAAGCCAAGTGAGAGGAATTTTGAGAAAGGATGTGGAACATTATTAAATAAAACAAATGAGGACAGGTGAAAGGAAGAGGACCCAGTCTTAATCAGAACTGGTAAAGTTTTGAGTTCTAGGAAGTAAAGTAGAAAAGTACGAAAGCACTAATGTTAGAATTGGGAGTTATTTTGAGGCCAGAACAAGGATTTCCTGGTATTATATTAGAGTTCTTTTTGTCTTTGTTATATGTACGGAGTAGTTGCAGCTGTATGGAAAACAGGGGCACTATGATTACAAGTTTGCTTTTAGCTTGTCAAGCTATGGTGCCTGGGAATACAGACATGTTCCTAAAATTATAATTAAATTGGCATTTTATAGAAAGGAATATTTATTATTGGTAAACAGCTTGGGATAAACAAGATGCTAGAAGAAAAAATATTAGGCAGTCTTTATAAACTAGTTAGTAACCAGTGATAACTTGAATTATGATGTGATATGCCATCCCATTCATTTAACAATATTTTACTTGAGCCCTATGAAGTTTAATATTCCTGAATACCTCTCTTATTTTATTTACTAACCTCCTTTTAACTTTTTTGTACTATTTATTTCTTTTATACGTCTTTTTTCTAACCTTGCCTCGCATTTGCATTCTGTATTTAAGACCCATGATATATGCATATACCTTATACAGTTCAACCTCCATTTCCTAATTAAGCAGTTTCCCTTATAGTTCATGGCAGTTTTTATTTCTCTTTAGACATGCAGAGTATTTCTGGAGAAGAAACATCCCATGGAGTGATTATGACAAGGCTTACCAAAAGTGGACAACCTTTCTCAGATGTCTGGAAAGATGAGGATTGGTTATATAGGAACCAGAAAAAACAGGACATAGATTTGCCACAAGAATTTCCTGAAACAATCTATACTGAGGAGGAAGATTTTGGATGTAGTGAAAATAAGAAAAGCTTTGATATTAATTCAGTTAGCTCAATTTGTGCTATACAACAGGGAATTCCAAAATGTGAGGGGTCTCCAAAATGTGATAAGTGGAAAACTCACTTCAAATTTAATTTAGACTCAGTAGGTAAGCAACATTCAGAATATGATGAATATGGGAATGACTTCAGCCTGAGTACAGATATTCAACACCAAGAAAGTCATACTACAATGAATTTCTATGAATGTTACCAATGTGGAAAAGCCTTCTGCCGAAGTTCATCCCTTATTCGACATCAGATCATTCACACAGGAGAGAAACCCTATAAATGCAGTGAATGTGGAAGATTCTTCAACAGACGTACAAATCTTACTAAGCATCAAAAACTTCACACTGAAGCAAAGGCCTGCACAAGCAATAAAAGTCAAAAGGCCTTCTGTAAAAGTGAAGACAGTAATAATTCAACAGTCCACTTTAGAAATAATTCCTATGAATGCGTTAACTGTGGAAAATCCTTCAACCGGAGCTCCTCTCTTATTCGACACCAAATAATTCATACAGGAGAGAAACCATTCAAATGTAAGGAATGTAATAAAGCCTTCAACAGGAGTTCAAACCTTGTTAAACATCAAAAACTGCATACTCAAGATAAGTCCTGAAAAAAGAAAAAATGAAAGATTACCTTCAGTCAAAATGCAGAAATCATTCAACATCATGAATTTATGCTAGATAAAATCTCATGAATATAATGTAAGAAAACATACTATTTATTCTTTAAATTGAAAACATATTTAAAGATTATTCTTTAAATATGTTTTCTCATATTTAATAAATAATATCTTTAATATGTTTTCTTACATTATATTTAATAATTAAAGATTATTCTTTAAATAGTATGACAGAATTAATAATGGATAGAAATATTATTGGATAGAAATCTGTTTGAAGGAGTTTCCCTGGCTTTCAGATGAAGCAATAAGGCTTTGGAGTTAAACACAGTATCACCATAGAAGTGTTTGTGTATCATTATTTTGATATCCATTGCCCTCACCTTTCCCTAGTTCATAAATAGGGCTATAGCATTCTAATATCCACCTGATTTATTGATGAAGCAGACATTAGGCAAAGCCAAACAAAATACTCTTAAAGCTGATACTTAATAAAACTCAGCCCTTTTACGAGGGTCACAAAAATCAGGAGCTCATGAGAATAAAAGAGAATAAAAGCCCTATATAAGGACAGAAATCTTTGAATTAATGCCTAAGACAACAGTAACAGCCATTTACTCCACCCCTGACAATATCCTTTGCTGTCTTGGTGCTGAATGGAAACTAGAGTTGAGAGAGGGTTATCAATTGCAATGGGAGAAGGATGTATTGTTGTTAATCTATATGTATTCTTAAAATCTGCATTTTTAAAAATCATAGCAGGTCTTTGAAAAATGTTTTTGTTTTGTTATAATGTTGTAATTGTTATAATGTTGATGAGACAGATATCAATTCCCAGCCAGGGACACTGTCTATGTGGAGTTTGCACATTCTCCCCATGTTTCCAGGTGCTCCAGTTTCAAACCTCAAAGATTAATTGATCTATTAGATTAATTGACATTTCTAAATTATCTCAGTCTGAATTTGCCTGTGAGGGAGAGTACCCTGCAGTAGAATGGCTTCTAATCAGGGTTGGTTCCCATCATTGCCCTGAGCTGCTAGGATGTGCTCTGTCCACCCATGGTTCCGTACTGGAATAATTGGGTAAATAATTATGTTACCTGTATTTTTTAATCCTTCTTAAATGTGTGTATAGCTCAGATTTATCTTCATGTCTAATACTGGAAGCATTTGGTATCTTTAGAAGTTTGGTTACGTTGTGACCAGACATTTGTCAAAGGAACTTAACTCTTGTTTGTATCCATTAGTCTATGGTAAAATTGATTTTGTTATACATCATTTCACTTACAGTTGTAGTTTCTAAGAACCTATTGATGACGTTCAGTGCAGACTTACTGTACCTTTGGGAACCTGGGTTGGAGAGACATCCATAGCCTTAGTTATATCATTTATCCCAGACATGAGCTTATTAAAGTGTCCTAATACTCTATACACCAGAACTGTGTCTTCTGTAAACAACCACAGGATCCCTTCTGGTTCTTGAGACAAGAAGAATGACTTAATCTACCCCAAAAAAATTCGCGCTGGAGACATTCCCAATTGATGATGGTAGCTTTTTGTGAAAGTTTCTACTTTATTCAAAGGCAGAAAAGGTATACTGGAGTGAACACCTATGATTTGTTAAATAATGTCAAAAATTCTATGTTTGTTCATACTTTATGTTACAACATGTTTTATTAGGACAAAGCCCTATATAAGTAATTGATATAAAAATTCATATAAATAAAAGGTAACTTGTAGAGGAGACTAACAAGAGAAAAGCACTCAGAATGTGAAAAATTCTTGAGGTATATAGATAGTACATTCATTAGTAAATTCAGTTGAAAAGACAAAAGGAACCAATCCTGTTCTATAAAGTCAGGCTGAATAGTCTTTGAACACAAGGATGCTTGTTGAATCACTTTTTAACTTTTCACAAATTGGTAGATAATAAGCTATATGTGTTATGTGTATTTTTTTCTTCAGAATTAAAGCAGCGATTTTTCTGTTATCAGAGCCTAATTTCTATTCATATTGATATGATTCAGCTGTGTTTATTTCTGTGAACTGCCAAAATCAAACACATTTGTCCAAGATATAGTATTCAGGTAAAAAATGATAAAACTCCACAAGAGAGCAATTTACAATATTGCACAAGTCTTTGACATTGGAATAGGACATAAAAAATGCCTCAAATAAGAGTAGATAGATTATAGAGAAAATATTTTAAGCATTGAAGAGAAACAATCAAAAAAGCAATGTGACATGATAGTTAAGCACTGTACTTCTAAAATATTTCTGAATTTCAATTTCATCCCTGCCACTTTATAGCTGTGTGAACTTTAGAAAGTTACCTAACTTATCTTTTTTTTTTTTGTAAATTGGATGATGATTACTGCCTACCTTATAAGACTTTTTGAGGACTAAATGAGATAAAGTATGTAAAGTTCTGAGCACATAAGTTCATAGTGGTAGCTTTTCATAAAGAACTTTAAAATGTACAAAAATAGGAAAATATGTATAATAGTAATTATAAAGGAAAACCCCAGAAAAAAATTTTTCTTAAAATATGATAGGGGATAAATTTCCACATTTTATCAAGTTTAATACAAAGTAATAAGAAAGTGAAGACCTGGACAGTTAAATGAGCAAAGATATTTTAATAGAGCTATTTTTCAAAACTAATGAAAAATTAGAATGTAGTGAAAGGTATGTTAATTTTTAGTTTTGATAGTGATTTTCAGAACTGTCAAAGGATAATACCAGTCTGCATTCCCACTGCAGAATTTGAGTGTGACTGCTTCTGTTAATTCTTGCTATTTTATGAACTGTAAAATCTGAGAAAAACAGTGTTCATGTCTGACTCCCCCCCTAGAAAATGGAGATAATGCAAATTCTAAGGCTAAGAGTTTAAAATTACATATTGAATTTAAATTCATTTTAAAATTCAGGGTTATTTGTGGGGTATTATAACTGCCTCATTTCACAAGAAGATATTTCTTGACACAATATTTTTAGATAAAAATTAAAGCCCTGAACTCTCTTATCTCTTATCTCTTGGTATTTAATAGTATTGACCCAGGAACTATCACTATGTAGCAGTTGTGTACAAGTTTGAAATAAAGTTACCTTCCCCGATGAGAAGATAAGTCAAAGAAAAAATTACTTAAATGGTTTAACCTGTGTTTTCTATAGGGAAATATAAAATGAGAACAATAAGCATCAAAACTGACACTCTTTATTCTTAACATCATCAAACTGACCTCAGTGATCCATGTCTTCACAAATACCATTTTCAGATATTTTCACTATCATAAGGTGTCTGTCTAATCTGTTTTAAAAGTCACATTAACTATATAATGCTCAGTGTATTTTATATTCAAATTTATGTATTTTAAGATTTTATCAAAGTATACAGACACATATATGCCATGTGGTAGAGTGTACAGATATATTGTTTACATTTGAACTTGGAGTATTGGCTCTTTTCTGCAGTGGTTTGTTAGTTTCTTGTTTAGTCAGGTTTTATTAAGGAATAACACTGCAAAATTCACCCTTATTAGTGTAGATTTTATGAATTTTGACAAACTCATATAGTCATGTAACAACCACCATAATCTGCATACAGAACAGTTCCACCACTACAGGAAATTCTCTCCTGTTCTTGTATAGTCAGGCTGTTCCCCCAACCCCTTGTCACCACTGATCTGGTCTTTCTATATATAATTTTGCTTTTTCCAGAATGTGATATGGATGGAATATAGGTTTCTTAGTCTGATATCTTTCACTTAGCCTACCTAATTGAGATTCAAACATGTTATTGCATCTTATTTATTGCTGAGTAGCAATAAAATAAAATTGCTATTAAAATATGGCTACATATATTCTGTGTATATGTGAACCATCTGAGTTATTCATATATTTGTGTTATTCATTTTAAATTTTGTTATTTAATCACATATATATATGTGAATAACTCAGATGGTTATTCATTCACCAGTTAGATTGTTGCCAGTTGGAGTTAAGTATAAAAAAATTACAAAATATGTATAAGAGTTTGTGGTAAGATATATTTTCAGTTCTCTTTGTACATACCTAGGTGTAAGATTGTTGGGTCCCATGGTAAGTTTAAGTTTATCTTGATAAGAAACTGTCAAGCCATTTTACAAAATGACTATATCACTTGGCGTTCTGACCATAATGGGTGAGTACCTGATGTTTCACATACCAGTGTTGGATATTCCCAGTTTTGTTTTGCTTTAGCTATGGTGTACTAGAGTAAGTTAATTGGCTCACAAGAAGTAAGTACTAAATTATCAGGAATTTTGTGAGCTATGTGAAATTATGTTATAGCTTGGAATCAACCAGGATGGGAGAATTTACACCAGAGAAACCAGCAAAGGCTATTGATCAGGGCTTTTTTGTGTTTTTTGGAGACCTAGCTAAACATTTACCATATCACTATGTTAGCAATTGCAATAAGTATCTAATAGTACCTCATTATCACTTCCATTTGAATTTTCTGAATGACTAAATTATGTTTTCATGGGCTTATTTGTCTTACATATATATTTTTGATGAAATGTCTTTTTAAATCTTTTGCCTATTTTTAAATCTAATTGTTTTCTTAAGTTTTGATGGTTTTTTTTAATATATTCTAGATGGAAATCCTTTATTGGATATCTATTTTGTGTAAATATTTTTGCACAGTCTATGACTTGTCCTTTCATTTTTAACTGTCTTTCAAAAAGCAGAAGTTTATAATGTTGATAAAGTTCATTTTATCAATTATTTCTCTTATTGATTGTGCTTTCACTGTCATACCTAAAATATTTCTCCTGTTTCTTCTAGAAGTTTTAGAGGTTTAGGTTTTTCATTGAGGCTTATGATCCATTCTTAGTTAATATTCATATATCATATGAGGTATGGGTCAGGGTTTATTTGCTTTTGGATATCCAGCAGTTTCAATACTCTTTGTAGAAGAATGTAGATCGAATTACCATTGAACATGCATCAAAAATCAATGAACATTTATGTCAGTCCATTTCCAGAGTCTGTTTTATTTCACTGATCTTTGTGCCTATCCTTTCAGTAATAACTTAGTTTGTTGATTAATGAATATTTAGCTTTGAAATCAGATTGTGTAAGTCTCCTTAGTTCTTTTTTTTTTTTTTTAATTTTTTATTTGATTATAGGTTTTGGGGTACATGAGCAGAGCATGCGAGACAGTTGCGTAGGTACACACATGGCAGTGTGCTTTGCTTTTCTTCTCCCCTTCACCCACATTTGGCATTTCTCCCCAGGCTATCCCTCCCCACCTCCCCCTCCCACTGGCCCTCCCCTTTTCCCCCCAATAGACCCCAGTGTTTAGTACTCCCCTTTCTGTGTCCATTTTTCATCACCCACCTATGAGTGAGAATATGCGGTGTTTCATTTTCTGTTCTTGTGTCGGTTTGCTGAGGATGATGTTCTCCAGATTCATCCATGTCCCTACAAACGACACGAACTCATCATTTCTGATTGCTGCATAATATTCCATGGTGTATATGTGCCACATTTTTCCAATCCAGTCTATTATCAATGGGCATTTGGGTTGATTCCAGGTCTTTGCTATTGTAAACAGTGCTGCAATGAACATTCGTGTACATGTGTCTTTATAGTAGAACGATTTATAGTCTTTTGGATATATACCCAGTAATGGGATTGCTGAGTCAAATGGAATTTCTATTTCTAAGGCCTTGAGGAATCGCCACACTGTCTTCCACAATGGTTGAACTACTTTACACTCCCACCAACAGTGTAAAAGTGTTCCTTTTTCTCCACATCCTCTCCAGCATCTGTTGTCTCCAGATTTTTTAATGATCGCCATTCTAACTGGCGTGAGATGGTATCTCAATGTGGTTTTGATTTGCATCTCTCTGATGACCAGTGATGATGAGCATTTTTTCATATGATTGTTGGCCTCATATATGTCTTCTTTCGTAAAGTATCTGTTCATATCCTTTGCCCACTTTTGAATGGGCTTGTTTGTTTTTTTCCTGTAAATCTGCTTGAGTTGTTTGTAAATTCTGAATATCAGCCCTTTGTCAGATGGGTAGACTGCGAAAATTTTTTCCCATTCTGTTGGTTGCCGATCCACTCTAGTGACTGTTTCTTTTGCCGTGCAGAAGCTGTGGAGTTTCATTAGGTCCCATTTGTCTATTTTGGCTTTTGTTGCCAATGGTTTTGGTGTTTTGTTCATGAAGTCCTTGCCTACTCCTATGTCCTGGATAGTTTTGCCTAGATTTCCTTCTAGGGTTTTTATGGTGCCAGGTCTTATGTTTAAGTCTTTAATCCATCTGGAGTTAATTTTAGTGTAAGGTGTCAGGAAGGGGTCCAGTTTCTGCTTTCTGCACATGGCTAGCCAGTTTTCCCAACACCATTTGTTAAACATGGAATCCTTGCCCCATTGCTTGTTTTTGTCAGGTTTATCAAAGATTGTATAGTTGTATGTATGTTGTGTTGCCTCCGGTGCCTCTGTTTTGTTCCATTGGTCTATATCTCTGTTTTGGTACCAGTACCATGCTGTTTTGATTACTGTAGCCTTGTAGTATAGTTTGAAATCTGGTAGTGTGTTGCCCCCTGCTGTGTACTTTTTGCTTAGAATTGACTTGGCTA